AGCTATGTTTCCGGACTCTTCTGGTACTGTCTAGGACAATCCGTATTACTCCAGAACGGTCTAGACAGGTCTATGCCTTACTCATCTCTTACTCATCCTATGGTGCGATACGTCGCAATTCTTTCACCATCGTATTATTCATCGCACTATGGTACATGTGACTAACCACTCTTCGATTAGTCATGGACACTTCTCTGTAGTATATAAGGACTTCAGATTGCGTCCTCCCTCTTCAGTCTTTCCTTACTGACTGAAGAGTGAGTACTTCATTACCTTTACCTCTAACTTGTAGTTACTTACTTAACCTTTGTAGTCTTGCTTCGACTCTAGGTACAGTTGGTTACTGCAATATAGTCTTTCCTTACTGACTGAAGATCTTGCTTCGACTCTAGTCGGATCTAATCTTTGTCTTCACAGCCCCGAGTTTATCACCCTTGATGCCCTCGCCGAGCTCATTGCACGGACAGCTTGCTTGCCATCGAGGAGACTGTCAAATGATAGGCTCTACGTGTGCGCAAACTACCCGGTGTATCCTACAACATAAAGAAGACACTCTACGATCTACGGTATAGCACCCAGCGGGTCATAAGGCGCCTGCTTCGGCTTTTGATCGCGCGAAACTGCAACTGCATTGGAGGTGCTCTCAAACAACGATGCAGGCGGTTGCGGGTAGTTTCTCAACGCCTGCCCGAAAACACTTGCCCTCGGAAGCGTAGTCGACATCCGCGGGGGCACGCGGGGAAGGTTCGCGATTGGCGAGTCCGAGCTCGCAAAGTCCGACTTGGTATAATTCCATGGAGCACTGAACGGTGAGACGCCAGTCGACGTGGGCGTCTTAGTAGACGGCGAAGACGTCGGGAGGGAGAACGACTGAGAAGAAGGGAGGGCAGGCACGGATGCAGACAAGGGTGGGGGACGGCTAGGCTTGGCTGGAGGATGAGCGACGACGGCGGGAACAGGCGCGGGTTTCGTGGGTGGGCTCGACGAACTCGTGGCATGGGGCATGAAGTAGTCCTGCGATCGGCGGGTTCCAGTACCCTGCGGACGTGTCTCAATCGGGATGGAAGCAGCGGGTATTGGTGGGTGTGGTGTGGAAGTTCTCCTGCTCAACGCCTCGGCTGCCTCCTTCTCTCGCCGTGCCTTCTCCCTTCTTCGCTTCGCTTCTTCTTCGCCTAGCAGGCGCTCTTCCTCTATGTCGTGGACGGTACCCTTGAGGATGTCCCGGACGTACGCGAGGCTCTCGAGCGCTTCTCGCTTGCGTTTCTGCACCGTCTTCCTCCCAACATCGTCATTCACATCGCCTTCGTCCAGCAGCAGTGTGTCCACGATCCAACTGACAGTATCTCCAAGCTTCCTCTGCAACGCGCGAACCTGCGCAACTTCTCGCTCCATCTCGCTTCGGGTCCGGGGCTCCCAGGGCGGACGTTCCTCATCGGGACGTTCGGGGGCCATGGGGTACATCGCATTCGCAGGCTGTGGGGACAATGGCAATCGTCCGAGCGCAGTGGCAAGGTCTGGCAGGTTCTTCTATAGGCCAAGCACATCAGGCTTGGGCAAATCAAAAGACGAACACTCGGACATACCCTCAGCCCAGAGACAGCCTCCATGACAGTCTTGTTGATACCCAGGCTCTCACCTCGCTCCAGCAAGCCCCGCGCAAACGTCTCTGGGATACCCATCGGACTCGACGCCTGCCGTCCATGTGCGCCCTTGCTGTTGCCAGCCTCCTGTCCGAGCGACCTGCTCCCGTTCGCATTCGTGAACGAGCGCCCCCGTTCTCCTTGTCGTGGACGTCGGTGCACAGGCGGTGATACTGGTGATGGGACCTCTGTGGGGATACCCAACAGGTTTCTGTTCTCCTGTATCACAGAAACACCGATTGTTGGAGTAGGTGACATCTGCAGTGTGAGAGCCTGGCGGATGAGCAGAGTTGCATGATGGATGGGAGTGGGTTCGGCGCTACCGCCAGCAGCCGGCGAGTCAGCTGGGTATCGGAGAAGGTATGTAAGTTGGGTACTGTAGTCGGCAGGGATCACTGCGAGTGTTCCAGTTAGTTTGATCGAAGGGCAGAAAGAAGAGGTGCTCACGTTTGTTACGGATGCGCACAAGCATTGCTACGCATATCCATAATGCCAAGTCGAATGAAGGGTCGACAGCAAACAAGCCATCCCATAGAACCATAGCATCTTCCAGGGCCAATTCGCGTGTAAAGAGGAGACGCAGCCAACGACTATTTTAGTATCAGTCAGGTACTGCTTACGAAGGGAAGAAAGAAATGAGGCATGCATACATTCCGTATATCTGAGGCTCTATCCCGGCGCTCTGCATGGCCTTCCACAGCTCCGGGTCGACACCCTTGAGAAACACCGACTGTACAAGATTCGCAGCTTCGACGATCGGGGCGATATACGGCTTCATCTGAATGTCTCGCGTAGCGACGTTCACCTGGACATGGGAAGGAAGAGGAGTTGGCTCCGCCGTCGCCACAGCAGATTTGCTCTCCTGCCACTCGTACCACCTCCCAGTGCCCTTCATGACCGCTGAGAAGAGAGCCCATGCGTCTGCGGCAACCCATGCACGAGAGCAGAACTCCTTGAGCGTGGGATCGGTATCGCCGTCGTCAGGTATTGAGTCGAAGTCGACGGCGTAGTAGAGGGGCGCAAGGAGCTCGTGCATCCCTTGTCGGTAGCCGATATCTGGGTGCATGTCGGAGTAGAGATAGAGGATGTGGGTGAGCTCGGCCTGAACCTCTGCATCGCGGAAGTACGCTATGTCTGGGAATCTACGGGTGAACGAGTGAGTGCCATTCGATTGCCTCGCAAACCGGACAGGTTGGGAACGAAGACTGGGCTTCATGTACGTGCATTTCGACCCTTGCCCGCTTTCGGTCGGCGAACGATGTCACAATGGGAGTGGACGTACGTTCGTTCTACATCTTGCAATATGGTCTTCCGTAGCTCGACCGAAGCGAACCACTCCCTCCATGGATTCTGAAGTCTCATGGGTTACTGCACGGATGTACCAGGCAGACCAGGCGTACCTCATCGTGCAGACTCAACGGATTGTTCTTTTCCAAGTTTCCACCACCCTTCTCTGTCCTTGGAGGTAACTCGCCTGTGCCCGGCACAGTAAAGCCCTCCTCATAACCGCCATCAGGTGCACGCATCTTCTCCATGAGCAACCTCCTGTAGTCCTCTCGCGCCCTACAGAGAGTCTTCCATGGCGGCGCGGCCTCCACGTCTGCGACGTCTTGTAACGGTTCCCCCGCTATAAGAAAAAGCTAATCGCATGATTTCAGCGCGAGCAATGATACTAGATGCGCAGAAAGAAACACCTTCCAGGCCATGCTCCGACCCGCGACTCCCGTAGCACCTTCGACACCCTGAAACAGTCGCCCCGCGAGTGCCGCATCTTTCAGTCTGCCGATGTTGCTCCCCGAGTGAAACAGGTGGTCAAACAAGTCCCTGCAGGCAAGGAAGCATAGGTTACAGAGATGAGTCTGTGAACCGGAGCCCCAATCAGAGGACAGACTTGATTTCTTTGACGTCGGGTCTACTTCGCGGTTCGCCCATTGCGATTACTGCCTCACAGTTATTTGATGGTGTAAAGAGCGAAAGGAAGAGCGCAAGGTGGCGATCGGGTGGCAGAGTCTCAACGGAAAAACATATGGAGTGGCTGAAAGACGGGATTGGTCGGCAACAGTTGCAGGGAGGCGGTACAATCCGGCAAAACAAATATTCCTGATACTCAACGCCGACGTCATACAGGCGCCCATAAGCACGGCGTCTGCCCTAGTGATGACTTCCAATAGACCCCGAAGCCGGAGTGGCAATTGTTGACTACATGTATCACTGTATCGTAGCGGAGACAGGTGACCAGCTATTGCCGGTAGTAGGGTCGCTCAATTCTTGAGGACGCAGGACGCAGGACGCACTCAGAGCTCATTTGATGAATGTGATGGGCTAGCCGAATAGGGTATGGTTGAAAAGGATTCGGTTTCGAACAGAGAGTTATGAGCAGGCGCCCGAGCCAGGTTGTTTCTAACCGGTATTAATAACTGTTCTTAACTCTAGTGATATTAAATGTTGAGAAGATTTTCTAACGCCGCCTTTGTTATTAACAGTCGTGGCGCATCGAGAATCACCACACGTCACTTCTCCCTCCATTGTCCCGCTTCCCTTACAAATCGCTTTCAGTAACGCCTCCCCCCCTTAGAGTTGGTCAACGTTGTGGACAACGACGACTCCCCCACCGGTAACCTGCTCTCCGACGCCATCCAGTACCTGTCTTCGACATCTACGCTAGCGTGGAGCATATGATTTTGGGCGATACTGCGTTCTGGCTCAATGGACCGTCCAATATGGGTACATGGACATCGCCTGACTTGGATTTGATTGTAATAGGGTGTGAGCATAGGATGTAGTATATTTACAGGCGATAGGATGGCGACCTACCACCCGAGAACTGAGGTGGTACAGCCGGACTGAGAGTTGAAATCGGACTTGATCAGTCGCGTCTGTACCGAGCTCATGGTTAGTTGTCTTGGATCGGAGTCTTGGGAAGCCAGAGGGCTGGGGGCAAGGTGGTGAGCGATGGGATGGTGACGTGTCGCTCGCTGATCTTTCTCTCACCATCATTTGAAACTAGGGATATTAGCAAGACTAGATACCGGGACGAATTGTAACACGTACTGTACTGGCTTCGTAGTTTATCACCTCCGAGTGTGTTCAGATCCTTCCTGTAGCTTAGTGCCCCGCCATCCTGCAGAGAGTGCGTGGTGTTTATTCAATAGTCAGTGAATTAGCCTCCGCTGTAGTTGGATGTGTCTGTGACTGCGCTCCTGTGATGCGATGGCATGCGGCGGAGGGGCCCTGTCCTCCTTGCGTCCTTCTGCGATATACGAGCTAACTCATAGGGCATTAACACATGCGTAAACAAGGGTTAGATCTCCGCTCGAGCACAGCATCTGGATTCAAGCTTCAAGAGCATACATCAGAGCCGTAGATTCTTATGGGAAGTCATCCATTTACGCTGCAATGCGAGGCGAGGTAGTAGAAGTCGAGAATCCCCCAGTAAGGTACAAGCTACTCAAACGGCGAGCGCACGCGCCTTCTCATGTTCAATCCATGACAATGCCACCGTCAATGCTCAGACATTGACCTACAATGATGTCAGTCCGCTTACTTCGGGGTGAGGGCGACCCTGAGCTAACCTGTCATGAACTGTGCCTCCGGCTTCACAAGGTATGCCACAAGCTCCGCAATCATCGCCGTTGTGCCGATAGGGACGTTGAGAGGCAATCCAGCGGCCTAAAAAGGGTATTAGGTACCGGCCTCTGGTTATCGCCTATGTGCAATGCCACACTTACGAGGAGGAAGGTGGAGCATCGACCGCCGTTCTTTTCGTCCTCCGCACGCTCGGCTGTCAAATATGACATGAGCGATACGGAGGTTGTCTAATACCGACTCCTGCCTCCTAGACTTACTCAAGCCAGTCGGGATGATACCCGGCGCATACGAATTGACGGTGATGTTGTGTTCCGCAAGCTCGAGTGCTGGGAACAATCACTCAGTCACATGCCCCCGGGTGCGGAGAACCACACCAGAAGCACATACCCACACTTTGCGTCAATCCGCGGACCGCAAATTTCGATGCGCAGTATGACGGAAAATAAGCGAATCCTAGGAACACCGGATGCATACGCCCCCCGACTTAGAAGCGTTCAACGTGACAGCTTGTTCGGCTCACCTTTCTTCCCCGCCATCGACGCCGCGCCTGCGCCCCAACAGAAGTTCCACGTTAGCCACAGCATCCGGGGAGTAATCAAACGCGACGAAATGCGATAACATACCAATTATGCGGCCCCCACGGCCCTGCTTGATCATCTGGCGCGCAGCATGCTTATACGCGAGCATGACACTTCGCAGGTTCACATTTATGACGCGGTCCCAGTCCTCGATGGTCGTATCGACGATGGGCACGCGTTGGATCGTGCCAGCGTTGGCGACCATCTGAGAACAGGCACAAAGATTCACTGAGTTGTCCCCTCTCGCAACGCTGAACGAGGAGAAGAGGGGAAAACACGCACAATATTCAGACCGCCGAACGCCTCTACCGCTTTTTCGACGAGCGACACGACGTCCGCTTCGACCGTAGCGTCGCCGAGGACAGCAAGGGACCGTCTGCCCTTAGCTTGGATGGCCTTCGCGACCCAATCGAGCTTGTCCTTCTTCACGGGAAGGTCGTTTACCACGACGTCGATGCCGTCGTCCGCGAGCCGGAGTGCGATGGCCTCACCGATGCCTTGCGCTGCTCCGGTGATGATGGCGATGCGGGTGGGAGCTATGTCGACCATGATGGGAGAGAAGTGTGGGATGCGAGTGTACATACCAGACCACAATGCGCTCCCTTATAACATCCAAGACTTAGGGCCGTGTGTGCAAGCGATGCATGACATACTAATCTCCGTGGCCGTGTTGGCACATGTCCGGCTTGAAAGGTAAAGTGCAGTCTGACATCCAGTTCCGAAGCGCCTTTGATAGATTAGCCTATCGGGTGCTTCCTGGGGCCGCCAGCCCGCGTGACGTCTGTCCGAGTATGTCAAACACCCTTCATGCAATGGGCACAGAATCCAAGTACTCGCTTTGTATAGCAATATCAGCTCTTCATGCACAATGGCGACCTCATGGCGGCTCGAAGGAACTCACAACACCGCTGTATCACTGTGGATATCCCCGCATCGGCTTCTCCGAGGTCTATGACTGCAACCACAATTATACGTCCAAACTAAAACTCACCTTCTTCCCAATACCGAAGAGAGAGCATGTAGTGGTCAGCGACAGGACATGTTGGTGACGGGGAAAGCTTCTATGACCGGCCTGAGGACGGATATCACCAGATTCCTCAATTGACGAGTGTCAGAAGTTTGCTCATGACTCACCAACTATCGAAACTCCGCCCCTGTGGCAACTGCGACCACCGCCGAGAGTCAGAAATTACCAGCACAACACTGTCACCTCTCGGCAGACCAAACACCTCGGGAACCAATGATAAGTTTGCGATTAGGGGTATGTGGTGTACGTGTGGCGCGGATGTGGTGCATAACTTATGTACGATGAAGCAAACGAGCATGCGAACCAAGGTAAAACATAGCCCATATCGAGATGCGATGGCGAGGCCCCTTAGTCGTCGGCTTCTACATTGACATCTCCGTCACCAACTTTGGCCTTCTTCCAGGCAGCGAAGTCGTCGAGCAATGTAGGCCATGCCTGAACCGAACCAGACAGTAAGAGGTCGATTAACAGTCGATTCGGATAGCCGTGCAAGAAATGATGTCGTACCCCATCAGCTTCATAGTTGGACAGATCCGGCTGTATGGTGCGGGAAAATTCAAGCACCTGCAAAGTGTTAGGTAGGTAGGAGAGACTTATCAGTACTGCGCATGCATAGGCCATACTAAGTGAGGAACAATGACGAAGACACCGTGCGTGACCTGACATGTTCTCGACCGCGGATTCGTCTTACCATGTTCCATAGATCCTTATTGACGCCTTTGTAAGTGCCCTTCTCCTGCGACGATGTGTTCAGTCTCGCTGGGAACGTAGGAAAAATTGAGAGCGTACATTAATGAATTCTATGATGTCCTTCATGATTGCATACTTTGGGACAACCAAAACGGACCAGAAGGCACTTGCGGTCTATGGAAGAGTGATTGAGTTTCGGCGGGAGTCAGGCTAGCGTGCGAGAGAGATGCAATAGCTCACATCCATATCAATGTTCCTCGCCGTTCTGTAGTCGCACGTGTCAGTACCTTGAGATTCTTGGACAGGACACGCGGTCACATACGGCGGCCTCGCGAGAGCAAAGCAGAACGCGTACAGCTCTGCGAATGCCTGATTCTTGTCGGCGGCGTACCGATAGTACTTGTTACGATCGTACAGCTCAGATGCATCTGAAATGGACGGAGCGTTGCCCCGCTTCTTGATAGAACCCGTGCCTGGAGGGGTTATTGGCGGCTTGTCTAGGAGTAGAAGATCTTCAAGTTGTCGGAGCACGAGGGACAGTACTTGAAGATTTGAGGCACTATGCAACCGCTTGTGATGAGTTCTAATCCGCAAACAACAATCTGGCCCTGACAAAAATGCAGATAATGCATTGGTTTGCATGGCAAGGAACGGGACATACCGCAGCTCTCCAGTACCCTGCATCCACTCGCTCTCCTTAAACTTGGCCATCTCCGTCGCGTGCATCTGCCACGCCAGAACTAACGGCAATGCGCCTTCCAACGATATGTCTAAGTCCCCGCAAAGCTTCTCGAACCCTTCTGGGCCAATCTCTCCCGGTGTATCTGGGTCCTCGTACTTCTTGAACAGCTCCCGCGCGCGTGCCTCGGAGTAGGGTTCTGGCTTCCCTGCATTCTTGGTTGTCGCCGGCTTGGTCCCGGCTCTTACGCTGTGGTTGTTGTCGTCATAAATGTGAGAGACGTTTGGCGAGCAGCAAAAGAATGAGAATTTGCCCATAAGAGAGGTAGGCAACACACAACCGGTGCGCACCTGGGGACCGTGCTCGCAGTCTGGCGTCGCTTAGTCAGCAGCGACGACGCCCAGAATGGCAAGGAACATACCTCATTTGTACTAGTCCAGGTGCCAGGTTAGGGTCACATAAACTAGTGTAGGACGACGAGGAAATGCGGCGAGTACACACCTCGAGTCCGTCTGTTGCGATTGACCTCGACTACCTTTAGTCCCCTTGGAATCTGCAGTCTTGGTGGTGGCTCGTTTGGTCTTCTTAGTGACTGGTCCGACCTACCAGTGCTGTTAGCCATCTCTCGTTTGCCAGGCCTCATGTACCACACACGTCGACGCCCCCATCATGCATTCCACCCGCGAACTTGCTGGTATTTTCGGCGGCGGTGGTGGCGTCACCGGAAGCTGTCTTGAGGCGCGTCGATGTACGCGTAATGCGCGGCGCGGCCTCTGCTGTACTGTCTGCGGAGCGTTTTCTCTCCAATGATTACTGTCTCAGCTGTAACTGACTGAGGCGCACACAAACCTGAGACACACCTTGGGTGGCATAACTATGGAGATGAGTGTCGGAAGGAGGTGAGTGTGGGCAGCAAAAGGGAAGGTGGCAGACGGAATAAACGCGACGCGGGACCGCAGGTGGCGCATCAGTTTCGCGAGTTGCGGCACGTTCCGAATAACTTCTTTGACACGTTGTAGTAGCGCCCACCATGTCATAGAACCCGCTCCGGCGTCTGACTCAAGACGTAGGCTCGCAGCTTTGCTTTCGGTCTGCCATCATGTCTGCCGAGGTGTTCAACCCAAACCCAACCATTTTTGCACCATCAAAGGCGAAAAAGACTGCCCATGCGTATGCAAGGGCCAATTCGATCTGGCTTGAAGATGGCGAGCGGACAGACGAAGACGAAGCCGATCAGTCAGACGAGCCGGAGGCCATTGGCCAGGACGAAATATTCGGTAAATCCACGGACATCCTACGCGCTCACTGCTCTGTTTGACACTTCCTCTTGTAGAGTTGATACGTTCAATATCGGACCCTGAGCATCGTAGCATGACTCTCGAGCAGCTTGCCGTGGTTTCAGCACCTCAGATAACCTTCGATCCGAAGTACCCCGACCGCATCACGGTCGAGTTCACTCCCACCGTGCCACATTGCGGCATGAGTACATTCATTGGTGAGTTGATGCCCTTATGACATGATCAGACGCTACTTTCACGCCACGATCGTGAGCGTGACTAAGGGAACATGCACATAGTTGGCAGCTAGGGAGCTTCGCTGAATGGCTACAGTGATGTTCGTCCTTATACAGTTTCTGCACTGTACCCAACCTCGGTCACAGACGGTGTCATCATTGTTCACACGTCGTCGGTCGATTAGACAGAGAAGTGCTCATGCATGGCTATCTTCATCTGCCCGCCATGATTGCGCTTGGCCGATGACGGTGATGCCGCAAAGCCTGCAGTCCTACAAACTCTGACACCGGCTTGTACTATGGCGTGCTCGTGCCGAACGCTATCATCAACTCTACCTTCCATGACCGTCGACTCGGAGTAGACGCGCTAATACCTCCGCTCGTTCAGGGTTGTCCATCCGTGTCCGATTGCTCCGCAGTCTCCCACAGCGTTTCAAGGTCGATATCCGAGTGAAGCCCGGTTCTCACCAGAGCGAGCACGCACGTACGTTGCATCGCTACTCTCGTCTTCCCGCGTAGCATGGGCGCAACTAGATGGAGCTAACAACCCGATCTCCATCTGGCAGTGAACAAGCAGCTCAACGACAAGGAACGGGTCGCGGCTGCGCTCGAAAACCCGGCGCTGCTCGACGTGCTCGAGCAGTGCCTCTCCACCGCCGACGGGACGGCATATGAGGAGTGAGCGAGCGTTGGCGGATGACGAGCTAGCGGTCCCATGGCATGTCGCTCTGGAACGTTCGGGCATCGCGTCTTGGCCGTCGATGGTGATTAGTCCCTCGTATGTAAGCATTGAATCCTTCTTGTATTTTCGCATGTAGCACTCGTAACTGTAAAGATTCCGACAGCCCAACACGCGGGAACCATGTTCCGAGCTTCGTCGTCTGTGTCGCACGTCATCCGCCTCGGAACGCGTGCACGTCCAAGTGCACTGGTCTCTCTCATATTCTCTTCCACCGTCACTTCATCCCGACGGGGACCGTAGTCCTGCGTACTTCAAATCTCACAATTGTCTCTGTACGTCTATGAAGAACCATCAGGAGCAAGCCCCGTTGGCTCAATGTCTCCCGGATCTGGCTACCTAACTTTTTGAAAACAATCCGGTCTCATGGGGGACTTCAAGGAGGCGTCTATGTTGAGGAAGGTTCTCATACCTCGCGATAAGCCTTACAGGCTGGGCCACAGAATGCAGACGAGCCGCTGCATGCGCCAGACGTCCTGCACACAAATCCGGTCTTCCCGGGATTCAACGACGTTCGATGCCACCGCCCAGGAAAGCACTCTCACACGGCCATACCCATGCCCATGCCATAAGCACCATACAATTACAACATCGAATCTGAGTCCTCCATTCATCGCTTAAGGGGATGCGAACAGTTGCGCCCGGCGTCCGATGGGTGATCGTCCGTGGCCCTGATCTCGAAGATTGGAAATGGGACTGCAAAATCAGCGACGCGTCCGACTCGGATGCCACGTCGGAGCGGACGCAATTCGGGCGGAGGAGGGTGCTTCTGGCGTTCTCGCGAAAGCTTATTAGCCATGCAGACGCTGTTTCGGACGCTGCTTCTGGCTGCGAGGCTACTGTGCGGTTCGGGGAAGCATCCGACCGCTAGCACTTGCGCGGCAGCTTTCACACACTGTCCATTTCGTATGCGCTTGTGGGATTACGAGACCTTGGCAACTGCGGCGTTCAACGACCCTAAGCTACAGATATCTGGATTCCCGTAATCATAACTTCGTTCTACTCCCTTTGCGGCGCACAGGCACGAGTGTATCCTACCGTTGTATCGACAAGTCTCCTCCGCCCGCTCCATCGCGCCCTTACCGTGTCGAGGTCCCGCGAGGAAGCGGCCTCAGTTCAGATGAAGCCTGGAGGCGCTCTCACGGACAGCTTCCGGATGAAACCTCGTACAGGCTGTGACGATGACTTGGGACACTAGTGCTGTGACGGACGGTCTCAGAGCGGTACGCGGCCGAGTAGTTTGTCAAACCACCCGCCGTCGGGATCAGACCGTTATGCCACTCGGATATGTACCCGTGAGTGACCGTGCGGTGCATCTGTTTTGTCCTCCGGTCACTATTATTGCATCCTGTCCAGGTCTCAGGTCGGCCTCGGCAGCGGAACGCTCACTTCACCAGGCGTCCGCTGTTCCAAGCGAATCTGAGGTCATCCCGAAGCCGATGATATTTCCGGGGTGTTCAATGGATTATAGGCTTCTTCCCGACAATTACATGGCACATTTTTAGACGCGTCGGTAGCTAATCTGCAAACACTGTCACCGTCACCGTCAATATTGCTGAAACGAAAGGTGGTAATTCAGAACGAGAGCCGACTCTCACGTACGGTGTGGCGTCGGAGAAACCGATGTTCTCGAGGCTGAGATAGCAGCCGCACGTATGAAATTCCCGGTTCAAGGCTGCAATGTGCGGCCCGGTCACAAGGAGGTCAAAGAACAAAGCCTACAGTTTTCGGCATTGCAGTAAGAGATACAACCTGTCAGCGCGCACGTCTTCCAATAATATACACAGCGCATAAGTCTCACCAATCATGGCAAGGGCTTCTCCTGAGCGCCGAGAGAACACGGCACAAGACTGTGACAGACGAACCACGCTGCGCTGCAACGCCGCCTCGAGCTGAGACGCGTCCGCGTCACACACTGGCCGACACGAGCGCGTCGGGAACCGGGAATGTTTCAACCAGCGCTGTATGTTCGAAGCCGGGGTTCATATCTGCACAATGAGACATGCATCGCACCTGCTTCGTTGCCAACTGGAGAATGTCTGGGAAGATGACAAACTGTACGAGAGGCGCTCAACAACGAGGCGGGAGCCTCATGGCGGACCTGTCAACAGTTGGGATCATGTGGGCGCGTTGTGGGTGCACAATGCCTGCGGGAACATAGGCAGAGCCGTTGTCGGCTAGTACGGGTTCTACATTGTCAGCCTGCTGTGCCTTCCCGCCGTGGGAGCCCTTTTGTTCCTTCCGCTGCGGCTGCGTTACTGGGGAAACAACACGGGCGTTGGAAGCACTGGGGAACTGAGGGACCGACGAGGTGCGTTGCTCGAAGCGCCGGGAGCGCCACGCGCTATTGTTCCCAACCCATGCTCGCACAACGCCCTCCGGCTGCTATGCGTTGAGTCCTGTGTCCCTGTCACAGCGGCGCCCTGCTACGAGTACCGGAGATAGCGTTGTCGGTTGGTTGGGTGGGATCCGCCTTGAACCCACCCTGGAGATCAGGGATGGCGCGATGGCGGCTCACGGACGCGGTTGCACAGCGCAACACAAGCAACCTAAGCAGATTCAGGTTGTACACACGGCGGGCGGGGTGCATCCAGCGACTGATCGAGGTGAAGGGGGCCAGGCAGTACAACACACGGAGGATGAGCAGAAGCTCGGACGGTACAGCCCTTTGTTTTCCAAACACGGGCGGCGCAGGCGGCTAGCGGCGTCTACGCTGTGCGCGGACCCGGTGCCCGCACGCCAGAACAACATATTCCTTTTCGGGGACAAGGCAGTATGTACAACACCCTCGCGTTCTTATACCCACCGGCTCTCCCCATGGAGGCCCCAGAATACCCCCTCCTTCATCCTGGTTTCCCTAGGCCTGTGCTGTGCCCCCCTTGATCATCACGCCACGATATGCCCTCCTCCGTTTGCTCCCATGTAAGTCATTATCGCTCAAAGCGCAGTCCAACGAGTACTGACCATCCATTACATGGGCCTCTATCTACAGGCGTCATATCCTACGAGCACAGATAGCCTCCTTCTTGAGCAGCCCTGCGGCTCACATCGCATAAAATACAAGGGTGCCGGCGAGCACTCTGTACACGACTTCGTTCTGGAGACCGACGACCAAGCGGTCGACGTCTCGCTCGTCCTCCCGCACTATCGCGCTCACAATCAACCCATCGACCATCGGCTGAGCATGTACACCGGGACGGACTCGAACGCGCCGGTCAAAGTCAAAGTGGTGCGTGCATCCATCCATCTGCCAATGCCACCGATGTTGATCCTCCAACTGTTCTTGTTCGCTCTTGCAGTGCCGGAGATTTACCCCTACACGGACTACCAAGTTCAAGCTCGAGGTGCACTCCGCCTCGAACTCGGACGTCACGATCTGGCTGCCCTCCGACTTCAAGGGCCACATTCACCGATCGTCGGCGTGCAAGAAAGTCTCTTTCTCGGCAGGCTTCACGAACCGCATCATGCGCAACGTCTGCCTGACACAGTCCCGCCGCCCCTCTGTGGTTTCCCTGTCCGACCACACCGCCTACCGCTTTTCGGAGATATACGTCTCCGACGGGCGGAGCCCGGTCGACAGTGAGAAGAAGTTGTTCGGGAGCGGATACGGCACCTTCGGCGGCGTGCCCGCCGACGAGGACGAGGTCGTGGTCGAGACCGAGGGCACGGTAACGTTCCGCATGTGGGACATCCACCGAGGAGAGCCCGAGGCACGCTGCCGTGAGGCGTGCAAGCGCGCGTTCGGGCTTGGCTGGTGCTCGAAGCGCAGCCCCGAGGTCGCCATCGACTGGGATTTCCTCCTCGAGGATTGAGCCCGATGAGTCCTAGGCCATCCACATGGGCTCCTTCCCCGACGAGCTTGCTTGCTCACTTTGACGTCTGACGTGCCACGTTCCGCCGACCGACTGCACCCGCGTCCACCGTCCACTTCATCTCCGCGCTTCCCTGCCTGCCTTTCGTTCGCAGGCACGCCCACCCCTGCATGCCCGTCGCGACCATTACGCTATCTTTCGTTCCCAAATATCCCTATGTTTTACATGCCCGCCCGCATCTCACGTTATTTGTCATCTGTTCTATATCCCCACAGGTTATCACAAACACTGTAGCATCAGCACACGTCCCTCGCCTTGGTAGATCTCCACGAACTGTAGCATCAACTCTCTTATATCTCTACCTTCACTCACATGGATTTCGCCGACATGGATCACGGATATACGTTTGGCACTCTTAATTCTATCTTTATGATGTTCCGTCAGTAGGGCTGACGGCACTTGTTACCACTCTACCCTTTCGTTTGTTCCGGGTACATATCATGGTTGAATACTTATGGAGACACCCGCATGAATTAGCATGCCACGCACCATGTGATGATCGAATGCGAATGCTCGTCTCGAGCGAATTATGTCACATTACTGGGAATGCCCGCTCGATCGCTTATCCTCTGCTAGAAAACAACATCTAGAATAGGCCAACCGAATGTATACAGGAGGGTATTGTAAAGTACGCATATGCAACAGGAAAGCACAAAGACAGCCGACCTTGGCCATTACCGAATCCATAGCCCTTACACGCTCGCCACGATCCTGGATGACAAAAGGAGAAGCGCGCAGGAAACAAGTGGTTAGCATACGCTGCTGCGATCAGGACGAACGTGGGGTACGCACTCCTCTGCTTTGTTAAGCGCCTGGATCATCGACACAACCTCCTTGCGGCGGTTGACGACATACTCGGACTCCTTGAGGAGATCGTCCAGCACCTCCGGCTTGTAGAGCTCCTGGAGGAGCTCGCGCTGGAGGTTCTCCTTCGAGTGGTTGACGAGTGTGAGCGTGATGGCCTTCGGGACCATATCGATCATCTCGCGCTTGACGATGTTGAAGTACGAGTGGATGAGGAGCTCTGCGGGCGGCGGCGCGGGTAGAGTCAGGTTAGACGCAGGGTTGCGATCTGCGAAGCGATAGTAACGTACTGATGACTTCGGTCTCCATGGTCTCACGCTCGTTGAGCGCGGCCTGGGGCTTGATCACCGGTGGCGGCTTTCGAGACGCGCGTTAGCGCGAGCGTGGAAGCCCAACAGAGGACCAAGGACTCACAGCATCCATGGCGGCAACGCCCTTCTTCTTTGGTTGATTCTTTGCAAAGAATGAACCGAAAAAGCTGGCCTCCTCCTTCACATCGACCTCGAGGTCGCGATTGTTGTTCAGTTGAGCAGGGGTGAGTCTACCACCCTTGCCTTCGACCTGCTGGGGCTTGTTCGCGTTCAGCTTCTCGGTGACGATCGACATCGCCTTGTGGCCGTTAAGGAAGTCAGGGTGAGTCGTGTTGACGTAACACGCTTGCATGCTAAGACGATGTCAACAGTGAGTTCGATAACCTCTTAAGTATGATTACTCACGCGACCAAGTCAGAAACGAGCTTCGTGGTGGGGTTCATGGAGTTCTTGAAGAAATTGACGACGACTGAGTTGAAACGCTCCCGCAAGGCAGGGAATCGCCTGAACGCTTGCTAGATTGAAGTCAGCAAACGCACTGGCCATAGCATGCAAAATATCTACTCACAATCTTCGCAAGGAGCTGACCGAGGATACGGATGAGCTCGTCATACACAAGCTGGCAACACTTCAGCGAAGGGTCCTCCAGTCGCCTAATCTGCTGCTTGACGATGATCTCGAATGCCTGCGTCCCCACGAACAGCGACGGCGTCGATCCAGACGAGTTGTACAGGATCGTGCGGATGTCCCCATCCTTGACCTGGTCGAACGGGTCGATCGTCTTGATGCCGTTGTTGAACAGCTCGTGGAACACGAAGCTGATACGCGCACCGCCCGAGAGTTCGTTGAGCGAAAGGTCGTTCGTGTTACCATCGATGGTTGTCCGGAACTCGGAGCAGAACTCGGTGATAACGCTGAGAACGATGCTTGAGGAGCTCGTGTCGCCGAGCGCGCCGCCGAGGGTCACCAGCTCTGCGTTGTACTTCTGTAACTGTTGTGAGATGCGCGCTTTGATGTCCGGGAGCGTTGCGCGAATGTGGGCCATGAGAATCTAGACAAATGACCATCTTTATCAACTGAAGAGTGTATTGAAGACTGTCAACATACGACGTTGAGCTTGCGGGCGAGGAAGGCTGTTCCGCAGTATTGCGCCTTATTTGAGTAGGAAGGGTGGGACTCAAAGAACTTGCGCTCGTACTCTAGAGCGGCGCTGATAGGCTTGTTGGCATCGATGTCGCGCTGTCCACGGTTGACGACAGGAACGTAGCCCAAACGCAAGGGTATGACGCGACCAGCAAGAATGTCAACGACATCGGTGCCCTGGTCCCTGTGAGGTTTTGTAAGAAGTGGCCCAAAGCATACCATGCGAGCGGACGTACATCAAGTCGACTTTTGTAAGGACACCGATTGTTCTCTGACCGTCAGGATCAACCTCACGAGCAAGCTTCAGTCCGTCGGAGTTCGCCAGATCCGTATTGGCCGCGGTGACCGCAAGAATAATACATGCTGGCTTCGAGATGTACTTGAGCAGCATATCACGGATCTGCTTCTCAATATCGCGTGGTTGGTCGCCGACGGGAACCTTAGTCAAACCGGGTAGATCGACAAGGGTGAGGGTGAGGACGTTGGGGGAGAAGATGCGCAGGTTGATAGGGAGAGGAGAGATACCGGCATTCTTGCCCGTTTTCGCTTCGGTGTCGCGAACGATTTCTTCCCGGATCTTGTTGAAGTCGTAGAACTTCTGGCCGGGAAGATGCAAAAACTCGCCCCACTCGTCGGGGTTCGCCTGTGCATCACCGCCTGCCTTCAAGTCTTCGCCATCTGCCTTGGCTGCGCGTGGAAAAAGTTAGCATTCGAAATGACCAAAGCGCATACAATTAGACTCTGTAACGCGTCTGCTCGGGCAGGAACACAGCTAACAAACTGTCCCCGATACAGAACCGGAAGAGGTGAGATCATAGTTAGCTGCTGGGAGAGCATTACTTTGATGATTGGTGCCCGGGGGAGGATGCGCGCAGGAAAGCAGTGGCGAAGAAATCCGTGTAACCCATGCCTGATAGAAGCGGACTCTCTCCAATTTCCGATTGAACCATGGCTTCTCCGCCGATTGTGATATGTGCGACGCGTCACATGAGCCACTGAGCCCGGAAGCGAGCGATCTAAGCGGTGGAAGGTCGCAAGGACCCCTGTAGTCTACGCTCTGGAGCCAGAGGTCTCCGTAGATCGACCGACGAGAGCCCAACGCATGTGTACAATCATGTATAGACAATAGAACTCACCTGTACCATTGACTTGCGGATGTGTTGCTTTCCTGTTGATCAATTGGAGGACAAGTGGTCGTCTGGTCACGATACCCGTTCCACGGGGCAGAAAATCCCGACCAACTATGTTCTGTCACACAAGGCGGGTCAAAGATAAGTCAAGGGACGCCTGAAAGGGGCGAACGCACCTCGAGTACACTACTCTTTCCACTACTTTGGCTTCCAAGTACACAGATCTGTGGAAGGTCTATTTGGGATGCGTTTGAGCCGACCGCGGAGAATACATCTTGTAGCTTGTTGACAACGTTAACAATCTCTGTGCCGAGTCCTGATGTTGCCATGACTGAAGGAGCCGGGTGAGTGAATGATGAAGATGGAAGATGAGGGAAGGAGAGACGAGCACTGGCCACGGTACAAGTGGCCCAAGACGCGCGTCGAGCGCCAAGCACAGCACCGCAGCCAGCCCTCTCTCGCGCAGCAAGTTAGCCTTCAACTTTACCCCGCTTCACTGCGCCCCACAACCCTTCGTCCGCCGACCCTAAACCCATATGTGCTTGTTCCCTCATGTGCTATGTATCATGCTGCAGTCTACTACGCGTTGCTTAATACTCGCAGCAAGTTCCTTAAGAACGGCAACCGGCAGAAGACAAGTCGGTGACTCAAGCTGGCTCCATAGAAGCTCGCCCGATGATTGAAGCAGCAATCGCATATTGATATCGCTCTGTATATCGTGAAGTGGGGGACGACAACATGGTCTGCGGACGGACTCTTCGACATCAGTACAGTTCTCACAGCCGCCTCACTACGTTCTCATCGAGAACGATAAGATTCATGAAGGTCATGCTGCCTGAGCCCATTGGGTGGGAGCCGCTGATTGGTGAGCTCAGGAAATGGCAAAGTTGTTTCGCAAATGATGCTAACTTTCGCGCGATGCTCCAGCTTTGAATGCACGAACCTCATATACCCCTTGGCATGTGCAACTGTGATGCCCGGCGAATCTGCTCAGAGAATTCAGGCTCAAAAGGCGACTCCTGTGCCCGCGTGTATCTCATGTTGACTTGACTTCATGCGTTTCCGGCTGGTTCCACGACCAATGTGGATTATCTTTGCCATCTCTTGTAGCGCATTACGTTCGAGCGGGAGCGGGAGCGCTCGGCGTCGAGATTCAAGGACGGCAGCGGTGCCCGCCCCTTCAATCATTCGAATACATGCAAACTCCGGCTGAACTCGCTGTTGAGGGATGACACAAGATTGTCTGGAGAAGGAGCGTGCACGAAGTTGTCGTTAAGGTATGTCACATTTGATCGAGTCGTATGACGTTTGGTTAGATTGCTCGTGAAGCCATGGCGAATGATAGCCCGCTGCATGACTGTGTTCTGCAATATAGCGTGGTACGTGTACGTCCTGCCATCGTCTCTGACATGCAGACTTCGGTCACGTCTTTGTCCCAACTAGACCTCAGGCCCTAAGCGCCGATCTGCCATGTTTCAGGTGCTCCGGCCGACGCTACGGGTGGAGCGTTGCTGAACTCGGAAGACAGGGTCGCAAAGGCGAGAATGCTCGGACCTTAAGCTTGTGCCCGAATGACTTGCTACTGTTCAGGCAAAGCGCGCCTGAGCCTCTGCTTTGTGTCAGACGCTCCGACCATGGGCTTTCGATTGCTTGTGCTAGTGGCGCAAGTTGCGCTTTTGAATGCTAAACATTTTGAATATCTTAGACCGTTCGCCCCTCCGACCTCTTCACCTCCGACCACTCCTTTCCACAAGGCCGCGAGAGCCACAGATCTCGCCCGTGCATGATGCAGCGCATCCGCAAGCTCTCAAATGATCTCAAGTGAGTCGATGGTGATGCGCACTCTGCTGAAAGGTGTTGATCGTCGGTATAGGGAGGCCCTAGTGCCCAAGACGGACAAAACACAGCCACACCGTCGGCCTTCGTACCGTGGTGGGCAGCCTGTACAGATCGGCGACATCAGGAAGACAGCCAACCGCTCATTGGCGAGCCTCGACCGCGACGCAATGGCTTCAGGGGACCTGCGCGAAACTAGAGCTGCTGTTGAGCAGTGGAGGCAGGACAGCTTCAAGGAAGCTACGCGGCTTGATCGAGAGCAACGCGCGCACGCCAACTCCGTCGCGTTCCCCTCTTCCTCATCGCGGTCCAAGCCACGCACCAAAGCTGAGGAGAAGCCCGTGCCGGTGCCCTCCATCGATCCTAGGACTGACTGGTGTCACAGTGAGCACTGGCTTCCGGGTAATCATTCGGACGGAGAAGTCTGTACGCCATATGGCATCTCGCCGGCAGTCCTCCCCGCCAATCGTCCTCTACCCCCGGCTCCGGTTCCAGTCAAGAAGCTCAGGCGTCGTTGTCCACCCGCTCCTAGCAGGCACTTTGTCCTTACGCATTCCACTCCCGCCGTGCCTTCTCGTGCCAAGACAGGTTCCTCAAGTACCAATAATCGGGATCCGGCGTTGCAGGTCGACGCTGAGGTCTCGACCTCACATAGTACTCAGAGCCAGGGGGGAGAGCCATCCTGGCCTCCCAATGGACCCGCCACAATCAAGCGCCAGCAGCGCGCCCGGGGGAGCTCCTTTGACTCTCTCTCCCGATCGCAGTCCGACAGGAGGGGTGTCCGGACGACCGCAACCACAAGCGACGCCGTGCATGCCCGATCATCCTCTGAACCACAGATGGGCCACGGTGCGGACACTCCGTCCCGTCGAGGACAGCGGATGACAGATACTGTGCTCAAGACCCTGCCCGACCCCAAGACGGCCACCGGCAAGGCTCATCCTTCCACGTCGCTCCACAACCCCGCCTCCTCGTCTGCGAGGTTGAAGGCCGCCCTGCCAGTGCAGGAGCTCTCCACGGCGCGCTCGGTGCACGTGGAGCCTACTGGACTGGGAAGGGCGAAATCTCACAAGGCCATGATCGTCCACCCTTCGCCTGAACCAGCTCCACCCCTGCCTTCGCCGCGCCCACCGACAGACATTTGGCGAGACGCGCCAAGGCCGTCGCGATCAACTGGGGCGGAAAAGAAGACATATGGACATCGTGACGCCCTTTCCAAGAGGAACAAGGAGCCTGAGGTATACTACATCACGATGCGCCAAGTCGCCGAGAAGGAGAACAAGAGGACGCAGAAGAAGCTTACTGACGAGCTCGCCAAGTGGGCTCCAATCCCCGAAGTCGTCCCGGAAGCAAGTTTCGCCACCAACGGCACCCGGCCACTTGCTGTTAAGAAACGATCTGCGATGTTCAAGCAGTAGAAGATGCAGCTGTCGGGGCAGACGCGTAGCTCGCACTACGAGGCTACCAACATATTTGGGAGATCCCTCCTGTATCGCTCCTTCACATAGGTTAATGTACGTTTATCGATTCACCCCCGTTCTTTGTGTCATTGCTCTTCGTGCTACTTTAGCTGCAATCTAGTGTCGTAGTATCCCAGCAATCATCAGTTTACCCACCAATCCCTGCGACCCTGGACGCTTCCGTTCCGCTGTTCAGTATAGAGCCTATCAGACTATACGTAGTGCCTGGGCAGGACGAGTCGTACCTCTCCCCAACGACAATGTGGAGGATCCAACCACAGTCGCGCTCAGGTTTGCACCTCGTCTCACACGGCTCGTTCTCAGCGCACTCACGGCACCCGCAGGAGATCCTATATATTCCATCACCGGTGCTTTGCGCCTGACAGCATTCGCCAATATGTGGCGAGAGAGACAGAAAAGCGTCGCCTTGCCATTCGAGACTTGTTCGCGGGATTGGCAAAGCTGCAGTCGACGCGCAATTTCCTTGCTCCAATCAACGCCCTTCCTGCCGAGCTGCTCAACATGGCATTTCGGGACCTACGCTCTCCTGGTGTCAGTTCTAGTCTAGAGCTGGACACACCATTCCGTCGATCCTGACACCGGTCGCACCACAGAAATCAGGAAGACGCCTCCAGCATTCGTGCATATGAAATCGGTTGCGACAACACCACGATCACGCATGAGTGTGTGCATCATGGGGATGGAGCACCTGGAGATCGACTCGGACTTCGTTTCATCGTTGGGGCCCTCAAAGAATAATAAATATATGGTCCTAACCTGCTCTGTCCAGAGCTGGCGACTTCATAGATATTCGATGTAGAGCTGCCGCCAGGGACAATGGACTTGCTGTCGACTGCGATCGATTGGCCAAGCAGCGCGGAAATCGAATCACCGCAAACTATTCAACTGTGGGCCCGATGTATGCATTCGTATATGGCCCCGCGGCTTGAAGGACTTGAATGTGTTTGTCAGCATCGATAGGAACGATCCCTCTTTCAGGTACTCGTTTCCACTGTACCATTCACCAGAATTTGCCTCGGACAATGTCCTCTAGATCGCAGCATCTTCATGAGGATACCTGTGGTTCCTCGTCTCGTAGACGGTCAGGCAAAACTCGAAGGCATCACACATGCGGTCGTTCTCCCGATCTCCTTCCCGAGGACACAGTACTGTGTCCTCGGGGAGGGAATCGAGGTGGGTGCAAACTCACATGCTACCTCTCCTCCACCGTATTTTGACACCAGCCAGAATGGCTCGCATAATATGACAGGGAGCACGACGGCTGCATCCTCCTTCGATGAGCTCTCTAGCACATGTACAAACCTTCTGCTTCCCACTATGGCAGGCGGAAATGAGGAAGACTGCTTATCGCGGACGTCGTTCCAGCGACGCACGTCCGTAAGTACTGGCGCACCACTTAACGGCATCAGTGTCCGCTTGCCGTCCAATGTCTCATACGAGGCAGAGGCCGGAGATCAACCCCTCGGTGCCCTCACGTCCACACCTCTCTTGCAGGTTCTGCACGTCTATTAGTCCCGGACTGAGCGACGGATACTATGGCGCTAGAGGGTATCCGGTCATCGTCCACTGAGCCGTGATCACGACATTATACTCCGTTTGTGCTGGGATATTTTGCGTTCCTCGTTCTCGGCTTTGAACCGCGATGACTGGTAGAGGGGGCCATAGTACCAACGGTTCCAATCTACGTGGTACAGAGGCGACGATATACGTCCTTAGTAGTCTGCAAGGAGACACGCAGCACTGCCGAGCTGTCTCCTGATGTCATGGTAGTCTACGTCGTGGCCTAGAATACAGTCATGTTAGTAACGTGTCAAAGCAATCGACGTCAAACGCACTGTCTTCTACCTCGCCCCATCGCTCGATCTGGCTGTTCACTTCGGCGTGAGCGGCCTGGGCGGCCTGGTCGACGTCTATATGGCGCTTCACCAGGGCGAGAGCGATGAGGAAGGATTTTGATGTGTACGTCGCGCGCTCCATTGCTACAGCGTGCAAAGCCGTCATGAGAGTGGAACAAAGTGGAGCAGCAGGGTGCGTACCGGCCATCTCCCACGGGCTGAACTTGATCAATGCTTCGTTGAGCTTGAGAATGGTTTCTGGAGGCTGTGAGGGGACGAGGAAGGAGTCCGTCGTAGCGATCTCAACGTCGAAGGTAGACCGTGCCCAGTGGAGGATGGGCTTCCAGTGCGCCTCTTGGAGCTTCACGAGCGTTGCGGGTTCGGTTGCGTGGTAGCTATCGAGATGGTTGGTTTCGGTATAGCACGGAGACTCGTAAAGAAACTCACAAGATTGTATCCGTCTCAAAGTACTTGAGTAGTTGGGCCCGGACTTCTTCTCGCGTCGGCTCGTCCTCGAAGGCGTCCAACGCTCTTGACGCGATGGAAGTCTAGAGTTCCCGGTCGGCTTGCTTCCAACCTGTGATAAATTTTGTAGACGCACCATAGGAAGGGCATGGGGTTTCAACAAAGTTTCCTGATTCTCCCATTCTGACGCGATGAGAGCAGCTACGAGCCTCTTCTCTGGAGGAATTATGAGGCGTTTTCCTGAGGGCGTCTTGAGGGGCCGTTTGTCCAGAGTGACCGCGTAGCCTCCATCGCGCTTCTCAATCTCGACATTCTTCCAAAATCTCTTGAGCGTAGCCTCGGCTCCTGCGGCGAACAAGAGTGTCGGTATGGAGACGCATGAGCGAGCATGGACACGTACGATTCGTAGCGGTAACTGCTGGACCAGACTCTGGTACTGTCGCGTGTGTTCTAGAAGAAGATACCAGGATACGTCTGGCAGGAAAGCTCCTGCGGACGTTGTTTTGGAGAACGGGAACGAAGGCGCGGACAGCCTGGCGGTACATGGACTCCGAGTCGGACGGCGACGCGGTCGCAGCAAGTAGGACACGCTGGCACGTGAGTCCCGCGTCATGGCGTGTCCTGAATAGGAAGCCCCACGGTTTACGGCAAGTTCCACCGGCGCGGGCCGAGTGGTGGCCACCGTCGAGGACCTTGTCCACAGCTGCCAGTGTAGCCATCAATGACGTCCTTGTCAGTGCCCGCCATGCGGAACCCATAAACACTCCTTCTTTGTGGTCCTCATAATGCCCAGAAGAACTTCACGCCATGCTCAAGCTTCTCTCCCCTCTTCGACCCATAGCACTATCATGGCGATCAACGCCCTCAATATCGCATCGCGCCGCTTCCAATTGGTCCGTTACGGTCGGTCTACCAGCGACTCCAGAACCGACAGAGTATTACAAGCCCGGCGGATATCATCCTATCAGGATTGGTGAAGTCTACAACAACTCGTACAGGGTCGTCCGACGGCTCGGCTGGGGCAGGTACTCTACAGTCTGGCTCGTCCAGAACATCAGGTAAGCCCACACTATGTCAACTGTCTGTGTAACGATAGGAATGAGTGCCTACCATGGCAGCGACAATGGGTATGGTGCTATGAAGGTACTAGTAGGTGAACTTGCCACACAGAAGGCACTGGCCGTGTGGGACGAGCTCGAGATCATGAAGACACTCCGCGACACCAACCCACATGCTCCCGGCCATTCCCACATCTGTCACATTCTGGACAATTTCACGTATGAGGGGCCTCATGGGAAGCATATCTGCCTCGTGCTCGAGCCTATGGGCTTCAGTGTATTAGACATCTACTGCGGTTTCAAAGCCGAGATGCCCTTGTTTCTAGTCAAGCGCATCTCCAAGCAACTCCTTCGCGCACTGCAGTATATGCACGACGACTGCGGGATCGTTCATACAGGTGCGTATGTTCCTCAGCTCCGGTCAGGCGGAATCGTGGGGTGACGACCGCACATGCAACAGACCTGAAGCCGGATAACGTTCTCACCATCGGCCTGCCCCCCGAGAGCGGACAGAAAAAGGAAATGACACAGAGCGAATTGTCGCGTCTCATGTTCAAGCTTACTGACTTCGGCGCTGGTACGCACTGTTCGACTATAGCCAATGAACGCAATCTCATAGCGCGAAGCCAATAAGGTGTCTAAGCCTGGCCCGCAGCTCATCCAACCCGAGAAGCTCCGCGCTCCTGAAGTGATCATCGGCGCCCCATGGGATACCAAGGCGGACATCTGGAATCTGGGTTGTCTGGTGAGTTCACAGTTCACAGTATATGGTGGGTGAACCGATAGGAGCGTCGCATCGTTTTGCTCCGTGTGCAGGTGTACGAGCTGGCGACTGGCGACGTGCTGTTCAATCCTCACACGAGCAAACGGCACAAGGACATGGACCACGCTGCGACACATCTAGCGCAGATCGAGGGACTCCTCGGGCAGTTCCCTATCCGCTTCTTGGAGCAGGGGAGATTCGGTGGGCACTACTTCAGCAACGAAGGTCAGTGTGCCACTTATGCTGCTGCTAGCCTCAGAGCAGACGGGTGACCTTTTCAAACTCCTACGTCAGGCCGCCTGCTCCATGGTTCGGGACTGTTCCGTTCGTCTATTCTGGACCATCTACAGAGGCTGAGGTATTTACAAGATGATTTGAACACGACCGCAGACTTCTTAGCACGAACCCTTGCTATCGATCCACAACGACGTTGGTCGGCTACACGATTACTGGAGCATGAATGGTTACACGGCGTTGATTAGATGTACATGTACCCACTATTCGCACAATTGAATGTTCCCGTGCTTTCCAAGCCGTTCGCGCGGTCGATAACTCCCGGACGCGGCGACTGAGCCCACATGTAATCTCCCATCTCTGCTTTTGAGGAGCGCGGTGCCGCATGAGCAACACACCAGACCTGGCGAAGTGGATAGTGCAGCACGCACGCGATTATGAGTTTGTTTTGAGCCCAAGGGCAAAGATTCGCCCTCGCCACTGGCAGTATAAGTTGGTTGCGGAGTTTACACCGGTTGGGTTAGATCCAACCGATACCACACAATGGCGACAGACAGAACTGGATCTTGATCTTGAGGAAGGGGCAATTGTGGATGCTCGCTGGATTAAGCCAATCCACAAGCGGTACCAAGCCCAACGTTTTGCTCACCTATTGGTTACGCTCTCCTCTCCGGAAGCAGCCAACAAGGTTATCCGAGCAGGTCTGGTACTAGCCGGCCGCCATGTAAGTGTAAGGAAGAACCTAGCAGAACCATTGAGGTGCTCCAAATGCCAGCGCTACGATGCAGGGCACCTGGCTAAGGAGTGCCCTCAGGACCATGATACGTGCGGAACATGTGCGCACACATAGAACAGCAGATTGTAAGATACAAGATGTGCAGCAGTATCACTGTGTGAACTGCAATAAGAAGAGTCATGCCGCATGGGACCGGGAGTGTCCTGTCTTTCTAGACCATCTGAGCAAGTTGAACGCCCGCTGCCCAGAGAACCACCTTCAATTCTACCCTACAGGGGACCTGGACTCATGGGTCCCAAAGCTGCATGACAGAGCTGTCTCTGCCACGTGGGTTCAGTTGAACGATGTAATTGAGGAGGAGATTGGGAAAGGCCGAAAGGCACCCTCGCAACGTGCTAGGGCGCAGAAAGGGCGGGCTCGCATGATGCAGACGCAGCTCCCATTCGGGTCACGAAGGCCCCGGGTTGACGATGACTCGGAGGAGGCTTGATATAGATTATGATGGCGCACTGACAGACAA